CGAGTAAACACCCACCGAGAATACGGACAACAAAGCAGCCAAAAAAGGTTATAAGCGGGCTGGCGATACATCGGTCGTCAAACAAATACGCCCGCACACAGCGGCGCCGTCGTAAACGGCGCGAATCTCGAACCAACCGCGCCCACCTACTTTCTTGACCGGCGAAGAAAGCGCCAGGGGCTGCCGACGCCCGGCGCGCAGCCAGCCCTGCGAAGTCCGCCGCGCTACCGCCGGCGCACCGCATGCCACCCTAGAGCAGCAACGCCTGTCCGCGCGCCAGCAGGCCTTCTTGCCTTCGCTTTGAACAAAATATGGTAATTCACGAAAACGGGGGATTCGGTGATCTGAGCGGGAACGGGCCCCGCAGCGAAAGAGGCTGCGCCCTCGTTTCTGTCGCGCCCGACCCGGGAGCGGCGCTCCCGTCACGCCACGGTGCTCAACGGCCCTGCGAGCCGGAAAAGGCGGCATGGCAGCGGCGGAGAGAGCAGCGAGGCAGAAGGAGAGGCCAGAAAACGCATAGCAACCACAACCTGCTCTTCGACACAGCCACAGACGCAGCCCCGCACTGAAGCAATGGGTGACCCGGCAGAGGGTGGCCGCCGCTCGCATCCGCGGCCGCGCCCGCCGACATGCGTGGGCCGTCGGGCGCACCTCGTGCCCGAAGGCAGGCAGAGGGATGGAATCTTCGGGGAGCGCAGGGAAGAAGATTCTTGGTGGCGCGGAGTGTTCCGTGAAATCAAGGACCTCGCGGGAATCGGGCGTCTCCGTAAGGTACTGAAAATAGCGGCACGCCACATGAACAGTTTAGCGCGAGAGGGCGCGCTGAACGAAGGCGTCAGCAAAAGCATCTCCGATGGAAGCGGATCGGCTCTTTATTGCGCGCCATGAAAGGGCAGACATGTTCCTTTGACATGCTAGGTGATCTCTTTACGAACTGGCCAGTCTGAAACTCAACGGTGCGAGCCCCAAAAGAAAGTAACGTCCAGCCCGAGCTGCAGACCAGTCTATCACATTTGACTGCTCGTGTCAGGGCAATTGAGGGCACGGCCCACTGGTTCGAGTGCCTTGAACCATCGATGCCTAACCTGCGCACCGTCCTGCCAATGCGTAGGCATCGCCAGCTCGATGCGTAGGCATGACCAGGTCGATGCCTAGGCATCTGCTACGCCCAGCTACGCACCACGACGTCCATGGGCGCATCCGTCTATGCATGCGTAGGCATAACGGTACGGATGCCTAGGTATCAACAATGGTACGCCTAGGCATCCACATGGCTATGCCTAGGCAAGCTACGATGATTCGTAGGCATCGAGGCTGGGGGTATCAATGTGATGGTTGGGAGCAACGAGCGGGCCGACCCTATGACCCTAGAAATGGTTTGGGTAAAACGGTGAGCCTGGGCAGCTGCCGCACCGGGAAAACTGGTGTCTTGTAGTCTGTCACCTCCTCGACCTCCACCTCCACCACCTCATCATCCTCCAACCGCTCCCCCAGAGGCAAGAAACACTATTCTCCGGTTGGTAATGATTGAAGCCCCTGGTTGCCATGAGCTTCCGTCCGTCACTCGATGTCTTCTTCCTCTCTTCCAACAGCATACAGCCACCGCTGCGCGCCCTGCAAGGGCGCAGGTCAGGCTTGTCCCGGCAGACTGGGAGAATGGTTTAGCAGGGGCGGCGCTGGGGGCACCGCCGGGGTGGCACAGCGCAGATCCAAGAAATCACGCCGGACCTTCGAAAGTCTATATGGACCTTCGAAAGTCTATATTTATGCAGTTTTGACTTATTCGAATCGCTCCGTTTGCCAACATCTCCCGAAGGGCAACGATAGGGTGGGGGGGCTGGCATAGGGGAGGAAACACCGACCTGGAATCGCCGATACATCGCCGATAGATCGGCGATGGATCCGATGGGCCCCCGATAGCAGATTCCCACGATCCTGGGCGGACTGGGGCCATCAACCCCTATCGGCGATCAATGGGCGATTGGAGGTCGATGCGACCCCACCTCATGCCAACGGTGAGTGCAATGGACACGGAACCCTTGGGTGTGCCCCCTCTCTCGTTGCCCCCGGCTTTCCTCCCTGGTCTCTTGCCCGTAGCACCCGCTCCCCCTCCATCGTTCCCCCCGTATCCGTCGCACCACGTCTCCCCTCCCCGGTCTCTTGCCCGTGACATCCGCTCCCCTCCCCTCCCCACGGTCCAGGCGCCAGGAAGGCTCCCTCGACGGGACGCCGGCGGGCCCCTTTGGGCGTTGCCCAGCTCGATGGACCTGTTCGCACATAGAATGCTCAAAGATCTACGAAGACGAGATGCGCACTTCGCGTTGATCTGGCGGAGAGATCGAGTCTGGGGCAACTCGATTCTGTAGTCGATCTCCTTTTCGATCTTTCGCGCAGCTCCTGGGCTGACTGGGCACCGAGGGGTGCCCCTTGCTTCGCTCCCACGTCCATCGCCCCCCCCCCCAATAACGCAATGCACAACACTCGCGCGGACAGCGTCGCTGGAACCAAAGGCTGATCACCACCGTTGGGCGGCCTGGCCCAGCTCAAGATTCTCGACGGCGGTCGACTTGGTGCGGCCGCCGAGCGGGGCGTGCACATGCAGAGTGGTCGGCTCGGCAGCTTTCTGCAGAGCCATCGCGTGCTCACGGCAAGGACCACGGCAGCCAAGACCAGACGGATAGGTCCTCCTCTTCCTCCTCTGTGCCAACCTCCTGCTTCTGCTGCTGCTGCCGCTGCTGATCCTCCTCCTCCTCCTCCTCTTCTCCTCCTCCCCGTTCGCATCCTCCTCCACCTACTCCTCCCGCTCCTCCTCTTCCTCCTTCTCCTCCCACCTCCATCCTCCTCCTCCAGCTCCAGCTCCTTCTCCTCCTCCTCCTCCTCCTCCTCCTCCTCCTCCTTCTCCTCCTTCCTCCTCCTCCTCCAGCTCCTCCGCCTCCTCCTCCTCCTCCTCTCGTCCTCCTCCTCCCCCTCCTCCTCCTCCTCCTCCTCCTCCTCCTCCTCCTCCCTCCTCCTCCTCGCCTCCTCCTCCCCTCCTCCTCCTCCTCCTCCTCCCTCCTCCTCCTCCTTCTCCTCCTCCTCCTCCTCCTCCTCCTCCTCCTCCTCCTCCTCCTCCTCCTCCTCCTCCTCCCGCCTCTTATCCTCATCGCTTGCCCTCTCCTCGTCCTCCTCCTCGTCGCTTCCTTCTCGCTTACTCCGCGCCCCCCTGCATCACCCTCTCTCCTCCTGTTCCTCCGACGCCGCTGCTGGTTCTCTTCTTCCATCTTCTCCCCCGAAGGGGAGGGAGAGGGTAAAAGAAGGGAGGAGGGGAAGGTGGACGAGGAGAAAGGAGTGAAGGGAGTTGAGGAGGCAAGAGGAAACGACGAGGAGGGAGAGGAGAGGGAGACCAGAAAACTGAATCCCACACGCAACTGCTGCGGTTTCGGGCGCCCCCGATACAACGGCAGATTGCTTCGAGCTCTAACCTGCGCGTTTGTCGTTTAAAAGGGCGGCCAAAGCAACCGACGACAAAGGCCGGCTAGGAGGTTGCAAAAGGAACGAATTCTGGCTGCTGGGCTCCTGCAGCGAACGCTGTTCCGGTTGCTAGGCTCACGCGAGGCGAAGGCCATCCTTCTCGCGAATTAATGCTGCTAGGCTCCTTAGGAGGAGGAAGTATCAATCATTGTGCTGCCATGACGAAATCGGGTTCTGACGAAACAGGTCCTGGAATACTTTTTGTTACTCGGGTAACACGAGTCCAGGAAGAGGACAACATCGGGCGAGGACAAACGTGAATCTCTGAGATCAGGCGGCGATGGAGGAGGTCTCGAGCGCCGTGGCCTTCTCAGAGCGTCCCAGAGCGCTTTGAGAGCGTTCTGGAACGCTCTGGAACTAGTGAATCATCGTCCTAGTTCCTAGCCCCGTCCGATGTGGACCAGCTCTTCATCCTGACTAGCTTCCGGCGGTCCTGCAACCCGGAAACGGCCCACAAAGGCCGAAGACGGGGAGGGGAAACTCTAGGACACGTCGCCCTGGGGCCCCTTTCCTGCATGCATCAGAAGAAGGAGGAAGAAGAGAAGGGTAGAAGGACAAGGAGGAGGAGGAGAAGGCTGAAGAGGAGGAGAGGAAAGGCGGAGAAGGAGAGTACGAGGAGGAAGACCATTGCAAACCCAGGACGCACCAACGATGTTGCAATACGCCCTTCCTCCAAAATCCCACCTCACAGGTCCATGCAAGATCTTATGGTAATTGCGGGAAGTTCCCCATTTGAAGACAAACCTCTGGAAACTCTCAGTCGTGCCAGAACGCTCCCAAACAACCTGGACCTTTGAACTCTTGCGAACGAATCTGCGCGGCGCTACAACGAGGGCCACACGTGGAAGAGGAAGCTGTTGCAAGCGTTTAAAAGGAGTGTGCGCGGCGCTGAAGCGAACGTAATGATAAAAAAAACTGCCCACCTCCACCCTTAAAACTGTAAAACCTTTGAACAAACCTTTGAGATAAATACTGGCGCCGGTGAAGCGAGCGTCACGCATTGAAGAGGGCCCGCCTGCCATCCGTGAAACAGTGGCAACAATTTAGAACTCATGCGCGCGGAATTTCAACAATAACTGCAATTTGAAAGCCAATCGCCTTCACTCCGGACAAATCTTGCACACTTTCTGGACCAGTTTGTGTGCAACAGCGGGAACTATCTTTTGCAAACCACCCGCCCTGCATCCGCAACATGGTGGCAAATTTTTCAAGCTAAAAATCGAGCGACGCTCAAGCGAGAACAGCATTTTGAAAACGGCCCGCCCCGCATCCATCCATGCAACTGTTGCAAGTTTTTTAAATTCAGGACGTACATGGTGAGGACGTATCTGGTGAAACGACTGACCCGCCCTACCGACACGACTGGGGGAGCGACAGCGAGGAGCTACTTAAATGAAAGAGCACGGATGGAAAAGGAGAGGAGGAGAAGGGCGATGATGATAGGAAGGAGCAGGGGGAGGGAGGAAGTGGAGTAGGAGGAGGATGAGGAGAAGAGGATGAGGAAAGGAGGAGAGGAGGAGGACGGGACGAAACACGACTGGTGGCTACGGAGCCAACCGGAGCTGGAACCCAAGGCGCTCGCGGCAGCCTTAGCCGGTGGTCGTCTGGTCGTGGCACCTGACCCACTCGTCGGCATTGCCAGGGCAGGATGGGAGAGGAGAAAGGAGCGAAGAGAAATGAAGAAAGAAGGAGCGGGAGGGAGGAGGGAGGAGGACGGAAGGAGAAGGAAGAGTGATGAAGGAAGGTCACCCCGTCCGCACTCTCAGTGCAGGTGGAGGAATGATGAGGAAATGCATGATTAGGAAAGGGGAAGCAAGCGCCTCTAGTTCGAGCTACTGGTGGGTGTAGGCTTCCCGAGGAGGACGAGGAGGAGGAGGCGAAGGAGGAAGGAGAAGGAGGAGGAGAGAAGGGCAGCAGCGGGGAAAGAAGGGTGACGAAGAGGAGGGAAGAGGAGAGGTAGGGATCGCATCAAGGTTCGCTCGCTTTGGCAGTATCGACCCGAAAGCCACGAAAGCGGTGCACAATAATCTCCCGTGCATGGGCAGGATCAAGAGGGGAGGAGCGGAGGAAAAACAATGCCCTGGCCAACTGAAAGCGGCAAGCGGTGTTGCGTTTCAACGCCTGGCGGCTCCAAGCGGCCAGTACTCAAATCAAACACCACATGAGGTGGGAAGGAGAAGAAGAGGAGAAGGGGCAACGGCGCTGTGCGGAGATCCCCTGCGGCCCACACGATCACTCTTCTAATGCAACGACGCGCAGCCGCATCCCAGAGAGGCAGAAAGAGGAAAGGATACAAGAAAAGACAAAGGACGAAAAGAGAACAAGGAGAGGGCGGGGCGCAGGAAAGGAGCATGGAATGGACGCCAGGTCACAGCCAATCGCTCCACTGGCGGGCAATCCAAACCCGGGCAGCACCAAGGGTTCCAATCGGGAGTCAGAAAATGAAACGAAGAGAGTAGTCGAGGAGGAGGAGGAGGAGGAGGAGGAGGAGGAGGAGGAGGAGGAGGAGGAGGAGGAGGAGGGGTCGTAAGACGTCCGCGGCGCACCAAGGCCTCTAGAGGCGTCCACCCCTGCGGAGCGGAGGGGCGAAGGCGGCTGAGCGGGAGGACGCCCGGGCACTGGGCACGGAGCCCGCCTGCAAAATGCACAAGTATGGGGACGTGCAGGCAAGACGGCGCGAAGCACCTCGTGTGCAAGGGAGGCGCAAAGAGCGAAAGAGAGAAAGGAGACGACGAGGTCGACGAGGAGGGCTGGGAGGCGACAAACATCGGCCTCGCGTTCTGCAGCACGCGCAGCCTCAATCAGCACGCGCGGTCCCGGTCCCTCCGAGTGACGCAGACACCACCCCATCAAGAGCAGAAACCGATCCAACACAACAGTAGGTCGTGGAAAACAAGAGCCATTCCCGTGTTGTGAGGTCGGCATCTCGTTGCTCCATATCCTGCTGATGGCGACCCGGCGGGCTGAGAGTGATGGGCCCCAGAGTCGTGAATGTTGGACTCAGTCGTGACATTCAGCCTCGTACTGCTGGAGCCCGTCGCGCCGAGTATCGACATGTTGCTGGTGAGTGCGTCGTCCTCTTGCTCTTCGCCGTCACGCTGCTAACAACCGTCGTGGCACGCAAGAATGAATGTAGAAGTCGTCAGACGGGTCATCAGGGTACCTGACATCACTATGAAACCATGGTCAATGTACGAATGGCTTCCCCACGGAACGCCACTCTGAGGCCCGAAGTCTATCTGCGACGTCGAGGCGAGGTAGTGCTGGAGGAAAAGGTCCTGGTCGTATGAAAAGCATTGGCAGTGCCAGGTGAAGTGGTACCGGCTGTGAGGGGGCCGAACGGTCATTCATTGTCCCTGGGTGCGTGGCTGAAGTGGGGATTCGTGGTGAAGATTCTGCTTATTGCATTGTTGTTGGTTGTTGTCTTCGTCCCACCCGCGACCCACCCGCAACCCAACCCGCGACCCACCCCGCGACCCACCCCGCAATCCACCCCGCGACCCACCCTGCGACACACCCCGCGACCCACACGCGACCCAAACCGCGACCCACCCGGGACCCACCCGCGACCCCCCACTCGACCCACCCGCGACCCACCCGCGACCCATCCGCGACACACCTGCGACCCACACGCGACACACTTCTGACCCACCTGCGACCAACCATGCGACCCACCCGGCGACCCACCCGGCGACCCTCCCCGCGACTCACCCCGCGCCCCACCCCGCGACTCACCCGCGACCGACCCACATTGGTTTAACGAGAAAATCGGCGCCCGCGGCAGGCTCGTTGTATCATTTGTGAAAGTTTGGCGCCTGCGGCGGGCTTCTCCAGAGTCTCGCAAGCTGCCGGCGTCCCCACCGCCCCCTCACTCTTATCCGCATCTGCGGGGTGGTACGTAGTAGTTGCAATTGAATGTGTGGTGGCAGCCGTCCTGCTGCAACCCATCGTATTGTTTGCACATGCGCACTGCTGCTGAACGAAAATCGGAACGGGCGAAAAGGGGGGATAGTAAAAGGCAGGGTTGGGGATTTGTTAACATGAGGTGGGTGCTGAAAACTTCCCAGCTACTGGTAGCGCTGGCGTGGCGACCCCTTTAATCAGATCACGCGCCCTCGGCTTGTGTTTGCATGCCTGGATGTGCGCTGGGAGCACGCGCGCCTGCCACAATGTAGATGCATTTGGTGCCCTGCCCGCGCGTTCCACCATGGCCGTGCGTTTGCCCACGCACCTATGAGCGCAAGATCGATCCATGCGCGCTCAACGCGCTGAACGGGCAGCGCGCGAGAGGCACTCGCACGCGCGCGCGCACAAGGACACGCGCAAACACAAAGGCTGCACGCGTGTGTGACATGACTCAGCAGGGGTGCGTTTCCAAACGCGGAAAGAAACATTCACCCCATCCCCAACCCGCCCCTCCTACCCCCTCCTGCTCTTCCCCCTCCCCCCGCGCACCCAACCAGCTATATGGAGCTGGTCTGGCGGGGAACCAGCTACATGCAGCTAGCTTCGCGCCAAACTAGCTCCAGGCAGCTAGTTCGGCACGAAACTAGCTGCATGGAGCTGGTTTCGCGCCGAACTAGCTACGCGCGCGTAGTTCGGCGCCAGACCCAGCTTCATGCAGCAAGTGTTCCTCGACGCGCACATTTTTTGATTTTTTTCACAGCCGCAGGCGGAAGCGCCAGCGGCGGAAGGTCGCGAACGGGCCGCGGACGCGACTAAATTACCTAACGCGCGCAGGGCCGCGGATCAGGCGGCTCACGGCAGCGTCCAGGGGGTCGAAGCCGATGCAATCCAGGTGCCATGACAGCCCCTGAACGGGCATGCAGGTGCGTCCAACAGGCCTGAGGTTGGCCCGAGACCACCCAGCGCAGCCAAAATGGCGCGATAACGTTCCAACGTCCAGGTGCGGACAAGGGAACGACCCGAGGACGTCAGCCCCAGCCTGTCGGGTAGCACAGACGACGAGGTGGAAAGTCCAACGAGGATCCCGACGGCGGCAGCGAGCCGCTGCGCCAGAACGACATCAAGGTGTATCCATGTTCCGAGAACACTACCACACCGAGATGTTTCGGCCCAGACCCAGCGGGTGGAAGGGCACCTGATGCACGCTACCCGTCGAAACGCGGCGTGCGCACACCACAGTGTCACAGTGCAGTCCAAAGGGACGGAGAGCACAGGCGGAACGAGACCGTGTATACCCAGGCAAGTCCCACAAAGCCACTGATCCAGGGTCGCGGTAGGAAGCCGTCCAGCAATGGGGGTCCAGAGGGCACCGATCCATGGGGCCTGAAAGGTACCACAGGCTGACTGGGAACAAGGACCAACGGAAAAAGCTGACGGCGAGCCAGTCGCAACGCAAGAAGCGCATCCAGGGTGTGGAGCATGAAGACAAAACGTCCACAACTGAGATGCGGCAGCCCAGATCCGACGAGTGGAAGGGCGTGGAAGAGCACGATACACGGCAGACCTCGAGGAATATGCACATCTAAGGTGGCCCAACGATACCCAACCGAGTCGTCTAGCACAGAGGGACGAGGGCGCCTCGTACCCGAGACGTGTCCCTCAGAGCCAATGGATCCAGGATGACGGCGGAAGGCCGTGCTTCTTGTTTGAAAGGTCCAGGGTGACGGCGGAAGGCCGATCGTTCGGTTAGAAAGTCCAGGGGGGGAAGCCAGTGGTCAGGCGAGCCGTGGCCCACTGACGGGCCAGGAAGGGCTGGCGGTGAGACAACTACAGTGGGGCCTGTGGCCGCGAGTCCACTGCGGAGAAGCGGTGGACGGTATTGCCGAAGCGCGCACCTGGATCCAAAGGCAGGAGGTGCGCGCATCGGGTGGAGGGCGGCAGAGCGCCGCGATTAGGGACCCGCGGCGCGGCCTGGGCAGCGTCCGCTGGGATTCAGGAGTGAAACAAGGCGGGGAGAGAGGAGCCGAGTGACGAGAGGGCGTCGGCCACCGGTGGAGAAAGGCAGTGATGCCAGTGGCAAGTGGTCTGCAGGATGCGCGGCGTCACGCGCGGAGCAGACGGCATTGCCGAACGGCGCCCCAGGGCCAAGGGTGAGAGAGGGTGCCGCTCAGGGGAGGGGAGGCAGAGTTGCCCCAGGTTGAAGGAAAGGGCGGCAGAGGGCCGCGGTGGCGTGTTATGAAGCGCAGGTGGTGGCGCGGGCACTGGGGGGCGGTGAGGGCAGAGAGGAAGTTCAGTCTCTCCAGCGGAGTCTCTGTTCGTCTCGATCATCCCGATCATCAGGGTAACCTCCGCCGCGCTTGCCACCCGCCTGCCAGTGATCCTCACGCCATCCGTCGCGCCACTCGCCCTGCCAACTGCTCCAGGTGTCCCAGGAACTTGTCGCACGGTCGCGCCAGCCCGTGTGGCGATAACCGCCTTTGCTCCAGTCGTCTGTCTGGGAGTGACGCAGGTAGTTGGCTCGTATCTTGTTCCAGTCGATATCATAGCCAAGCCTCCTGTTCATCTCGTAGGCGTCGTACCCGCAGCCCTTCCAGGCCTCTAGGAAGTTGATAATATCCGAGGGCATGTGTAGTTTCGGGTCGGACTTGGGCGCCCTCCATCCAGGGAGCAGGGTACGCTGCGCGTTCGCTGTCCACAGTGCGCAAAAGACT